TTGAATTCTCTCCTTTATAACAAATTGTAATTTTTTACTGTTTGATAAAATCATGAGTGATCTAACTGACTTTGTTTATCTAATAAAGATTTAATAAATTTAACTATGTATTTCATCGTTATTATTATCAAGTTTATTATTTAACAATTATGGAATCATAATTTTCTATTCGTTCGTCCAATTTTGTCCATCTAATAAAATCTAATAAATTTTATAAAGGTCTCGACCATTTTATCGTTATTATTATCAAGTTTATTATTAGGCAATTCTTCCTAAATATTTGATCGTTTATGAAGTCTAGATTTATTGTGCCATTAAATATTATACCGAAGACAGTAAAATGAATGATTATTCAATGAGCTTTCTTTTTTTAATATATACAATATTTTTTTTTTGCTTCAAAGAAATCATATTTTTTTAAATTTGATCATTTCTTGAAAAATGCCTTTGGAATGTTCAGAATGTTTATTCAGGCAAAAATCAATCACTTGTTTCATGTTTTCGTCCAGATTTAAATTTGATAAATAAAATAAATTCGTAAATTCGACCCAAATGAAATGATATTTCTTCAACAATGCATGAGTCGGATATTATAAAAATTTGATCAACATATTATTTATAAATAAATATCATATTTTATGCTCATTTTTATTTACTTACGAAATCAGATGCCTTTAGGTTCGACTAGAGCCTTACGCCTTAATGTTGCAACTTCTAAATTCAGATCAAAACCCTTACGTCTATGTACTCCTTCTTTATGTTGTTGTTTATTGGAAGAAATCGTTTTTATGGGTTCATTTGCGACAGATATAATTTTTTCACTTGATCTCGGTGCTTCATTGGAAAAATCATCGTTAAGATTATTATGTTGATTTTTAAATGGATTAAGACCACCACTCTTTTCCAGTCCTTTGATTTTCTTTTTTCGTGCATTTCCCTCTCCCATACGATGTACAGCATAACTAATATCAAACATCTCTTTAAGCGAAATTCCTGGAAAATTATACCTTTACGACGAACGCTCTCTTCAGGGGTTCCAATACTTTCGTCATAAAGAGGTGATTCAACTTTACTAACCAAATTAATGGGTTTGGGATTAATTATTACCGATCTATTTTTACTGTAGTTTGAAAGGCTTAGAAAAAAAAGTAATGAATCAACATACTTAATTAAACTTAATTTAAAACTTAATTTAAGACTTAATTTAAAACTTAATTTGAATATAATTTTTACCCCCATGGATGTTCAAAGAATTGTTGTATCGTATACCGCTTGCATGTTCATTACTAAAACACATAATGTTAAAAATCCTCCTTCTTTACTGCCGGATAAATGATTAACCATAAAAGGTTTACTCATACTTGTGGGCTTTCTTCTATATATCGTTGAATATACTGTTGAATATATTCTTTGTTAAAAGAAAAAAATAAAATTCTTAAAGTCGATATTTAATTGCTCAAGAAAAAAAATTGTAATTGAAACGATCAATAAAATTTATTAAACCCCCTTACTTATGATTCCATAATTGCTAAATAATAAACTTGATAATAATA